GCCATGCATGTGGGAGTGGGGGAGGGGGGGGGAATGGATGAGTGGATTGTTTTAGTGGAGTGTGGTAAAATATTGGGTGGTGAGTGGTGTGTTAGGGTGTAAGTGAGTATAAGTAGACTCCCTCTCCACAAGATATCCTAGCCATCCACTTCAAGTCATGCAATCAAAGTCATCCATTCTTTAGCCTACCTTGGAAATTTTCCTACAAAATATTAAATCATTGATTAATTAATAGGAAATTTTGCATGCACAATTTGAAGTATTTGTAAAATTTTAAGCTATTTCATATATCTAATAATAATCCAAATTTGAGAATTTTACAAGAAACAATCAAGTTGATAAGAAATTTTAAAGTCTAGCCTAATGCATATCAACACTTGGTAAAATTCAACTTAATTAACACAAATAGCTCCAAATTTTCTCCAATTCATCCAAAACACTCAAAATACAATAATTCACACATTTAAGCACAATTTGGACACTTTGGGTATGAAAACTTGAGGATATTGCATAAATTTATATTAAAATTATCAAGAAAAAAATGCTCTAAAAATGGAGGCATCAAGCTTCTCCTTCTCTCTGCTAGACGCACGACACTCTTCTCTACTCTCCTCTTCCTTGCTTGATTGGTTCGAACAAATACATACACTATTTCTATTTCTCTTACTGAATCTATTTCTCTCTCTGTGAGTGAAATCTTGTGTGATTTCCGTGAGTGTGGCCGTGAGATTGTGGAGCCCTTCGTGCCGTCGCCATCGCCGTGCCTCCCTAGCCAAACATAGTTCCTCCATGGTGCTTTCTGGCGATCCCTGTGTGAAGGAGAGGCCTCTTAACGGTGGACTAGGTGCATGGTGTGAGTGTGAGGAGGAGCCCGGGGTGAGGGCCGAGTAACCATCACTGCCATTTCCCACTGCCGAGCCGTGAACCGAGGGAGCCGGGTTCAAGGACAATCTGAGTCGGAAGACTTCGTGTCTTCATTCTCAGTCCACATTCAGGCCATAGGGAGTAATCTGTTTATTATTCCTCCTTTTGTTTTCTAATTATATTTTTAGTGTCTGTTTTAACAGGCTAGAGAAATAGGGACTGAAGAAGGGCTGCCTGCGAGCAG